AGTAGAGGGAAGAAGACAGCTAGTCACTAACACCCACAAATAACGCTAATCCAACCGACGATTTCAAAACGCCGAGTTCAGTTTTTCTAATTATTGTATGCATTAACGGGATACGAACCATGGACCCTTGGATTCAGATCTTGATCCAGAAAAAGTATATTTATATTTTTGAAGTTATGCAAAAAGCTACGCAACGGACTATCTGTGCTCTGCCCACCACGAGTATCGAAACCCAGTTTCTAGCGTTGTAAATCCGCAGACATACAGCTGTTACACTGGGGGTCCAGAAAAAGTACAAAGAAATACGTTTAAGAGAATTTACACCAAACTGTGAAGTTGTTTTCTTTTAATCATGTGGATAAATAACCAGATAAAAGAATCTATCGATAATTTGTCGAATCTTTACAAATATTTGCGATTAGATTGATCATAGTTCATAAAGGAATTAAAGTTTAGAAAACCTGCATGTAATTTGACATATAAAATGGACTGACCAGTTACTAACGATCGTATGCGTAATTCAGCGTTTTTTGTTGTTGTTTTTTTAACATTTTAGCAAAAATATTTAATTATGCCTAACACGGTGGCCTCTGTAGATAATGAAAGTATTTTAAATTCATGTTATTGTTGATCAAAACGTCCCAAAACAAGTTAGTTCGATTCATCATATTTAAATAATGAAAGAATGGATTATATTTAAGGACGATTAATATATATATATTCATCCTTGTGTAGTGTATAATATTATTTATAACGCAATTTAAAACAGAAGAAAATTATTTTACGTTGTCTAAAATACGTATCAACATATAGATGCATCTGATTTTCTTTTTTCCCGCCTTCTATATAAATGTGAATCTACTTGCTCGTCAGACTCTGCGATACAAATACTAAGTCAATGTTTTTGTCAAATGGTCTAGAAGCATAAAATAAACGAAGGATGTAACTATTTTTAACTGATTTTTTTTATAGTTTTTGCCTTTCATTGAAATACGTTCTTTTGTATATATTTCCAGTTACAAATTAAAGATTGCTTTTCGCAACTTAAAAGTCTTTGCCCCCCCCCAGTGGCACAGCGGTATGTCTGCAGACTTATAACGCTAGAATCCGGGTTTCGATACCCGTGGTGGTCAGAGCACAGATAGCCTATTGTGTAGCTTTGTGCTTAATGACAAACTAACTAACTAAAAGTCTTTACCCCTAAGAACAAGTAACGAGCCAAGAATCCTAAACTCGCCTATCCAAATAAATGGAAAATTCCGTCGGATTAGGAACTAAGTGCATCACATAAACTGTCCAAATGGTTTGCCTTTGAAAATAAGTAGTTTTCTTGTGGTTGAAATCCATTTTATTTTTCAATAACCTTCCATCACAGCTGGGAAATCTTATGTGGCCTCGAACCAACTCAGTGAACTTAGGACTTTCACAATCACTATGATATGCACGGAATATAATAAACGCTAAGTTATTTTTACGTCGCATTTAAACAAGGAATAGTCTATCGATCAATTTACTAAAGGATATACAAAATGATATATATATGCGATGATAAAATAAAAAAACATGATTTTTGGTGGTTGTTG